CCTGGCTCAGTCTCTTTCAAAATTTCTGCTAGTGTTTGAAACATGTCAAAAGTTCCAATGTTCACTCGTCGCCCCCATAATTCCAGTTTGGCTTTGAATGCAGCCACTTTATCTGTCGAATTGAAAAGAGTTGTCGATCTCCCCTGAAATGACACATTGAGTACGTTGAGCAGGCTTAATATGTCACACAAGTGAGCAAGTTTTTCGACCCATTCTGTGTCACGGAAATGTGCTGCCAGTGGTGACTGTTCTTCTAAAAGATATCTCTGGAGTGGCTCTCGCAACTCAAAAACTCTGGCCAGTGATCTACCTTTAGAAAGCCATCTCACTTCTGTGTTTTAGAGATGATGTGTGGTGAGCGCACTGCGCTACGAACCCGGCGATCCGAGTTCGATTCCCGCTCACGGCCACCACGATTATTTTTACTGGTCCTGGGCTTCCCCTAGGTCGACTCAGCCTCAAACGAGTAACTGATGTGGTGTGTGAACATCGCCACTGGGGAGACAAAGGCGGCCGGGCGTGGTGAATCCAAGTCCCGGGCGAAGCTAGTCTTCAATATATGAAAGGAAAATTTGTGAATGTGTTGTCTGTTCAAAATGTTTAGCTGTACTTCCCGACATGCAACAAACTTGAAATTTGCCATGTGGGTACTTTGCAAAATGTACACCATGAAAAAATTATAAAATATAAACTTTAGTTTTTTTGGAGGGGGGATGGGGGGGGGATGACCATGAAGTGTGTGGTGAGAATCGATATCTGCTGAGCGTTTGTGGTATCGATTCAAAGGGAATAGGCCGATTCTAAATAAATCTACAACCTTCGATTCCTTTGCGCGATCTAAAGAATCGAATTTTGACGCGCGAGCGTAAGTTAATTTTCCACCGCGCGTTGGGATTTATTTAAATTTATTTACATTTTATTTAAAAAATTATGTTTTTTATTTTCTTGAGAAGTTTTTCAATAATTTTTTCTCCCAGGCAGTACCTAATTAATGAAACAAACTATCAACTGGCGGTTAATTAACATAATTTATTCATAAATGCTATCGCTAGTTCATTGTGACTGGTTCAGCATCCACGCCTCATCACTGGACATAAGCCCGTCTCATTAACATAATTTATTCAGTTACACTCCCGCTCGTTGGGGGAGGGGATTGTGTTGAACACCGCAAGTGACGTCATGTCACCTCCTGCTGCCGCGTGACGTCACGAGCTGCTACACCGCGCTCGCTCTCCCAGATCCGAGGTGAGAAGTTAACATCGTTGTTGTTGTCGTGGTGGTTGTTGTTGTTTGCCCAGGTAGAGCCTAAATTTCGATTTAAAGCTTTCGTGACTGCAGGGATTCATCTTCTTGTTTCTTTCGGTAAAGTCACGTAGAAGGGAAGTAATAAAATAATAAAAATAAAACATAATAAAACAATTCTCACGACGTTTCGGCTACAACGCAAGCAGCCGTCTTCAGGTGAAGAATGAGACACTACCAAACTAGGAGCTTATATATAAGCTGCATTGGGGGTTGAAGAGCGCCTTAACAAAAAGAATGTGCATGTGAAGAGGAATTTAGCATATTCATGGAAATGCGTAGGCGTTGGGCGGGGGGGTGTCAAAGTCATATTATGCCCATGCATTATGCATAATGCATGGGCATAATATGACTTTATGCATAATGCATGGGCATAATATGACTTTGACACCCCCCCGCCCAACGCCTACGCATTTTCCATGAATATGCTAAATTCCTCTTCACATGCACATTCTTTTTGTTAAGGCGCTCTTCAACCCCCAATGCAGCTTATATATAAGCTCCTAGTTTGGTAGTGTCTCATTCTTCACCTGAAGACGGCTGCTTGCGTTGTAGCCGAAACGTCGTGAGAATTGTTTTATTATGTTTTATTTTTATTATTTTATTACTTCCCTTCTACGTGACTTTACCGAAAGAAACAAGAACAGGTAGAGCCTCTCTCTCGTAGGGATATCAATTGAGTAGCAGCGAGTATGGAATCGATGTCCAGGTTGGAACATTACAGCGCGGGGCCTAGCCACGCGGGGCCTTGCCTCCTGCCCTCGCCTGATTGCATTTGCTTTAATCCTCTGCTTAAGTTTAATTCGTCTTCATCTGGCTCACTACTTCATGGGACCTCCTTTGCCAGTAGCAACATATAAGAAGAGGTTTTTTCCCCCCTTTCTTGGCAACAAAACAGGTGTTAAGATATTCTTGGTTCTTTCGGTAAAGTCACGCAGAAGGGAAATAATAAAGTAATACAATTTCTTGCTGTGGATTTCACAGCTGACGATGATTGCTCGAGTTGCCGTTGAAACGTGAGAATTTTAATATTTTTATTTTATTGTTTTTCTTCTACACGACTTTAGGTGTGAAAAACAGCAAGAAAATTTTTCTAAATTTTGGAAAATTGTCTTGCTGTGTTTTTCACAGCTGACGATGATTGCTCGTGTTGCAGTCAAAACGTGAGAATTTTTTAATTTTTTTAAATTCTGTTTTTCTTCTACGTGACGGTGTGAAAAACGGCAAGAATTTTTTTTAAAAATTGTATGAAATTTTCTTGCTGTGTTTTTCACACCTGATTGCTCGTGTTGCAGTCGAAACGTCGTGAGAATTTTTATTTATTTAATTTTCCTTCTACGTGACGAGGTGTGAAAAACAGCAAGAATTTTTGTTAAAAATTTTGGAAAATTTTCGTGCTGTGTTTTTCACACCTGACGATGATTGCTCGTGTTGCAGTCGAAACATCGTGAGAATTTATTTTATTTTATTTTTCTTCTACGTGGCTTTAGGTGTGAAAAACAGCAAGAATTCGTTGTACACTTTTGGAAAAAATTCTTGCTGTGTTTTTAACACCTGACGAAGATTACTCGTGTTGCAATCGAAACGTCGTGAGAAATTTTAATTTAATATTTATTTTATTTTATTATTTCGCTTCTACCTGATGACTTTACCCAAAGAACCAAGAATATGAATCCCTGCAGTCAGGAAAGCTTCAAATCTAAATTTAGGTGTTAAGATGTTAAAACGCCGAACTGAAACCTCTTGCAAGGAATCGTGTCTGCATTAACCACAATATACTCGCGATCAATATGCAAACAAAACACATGCTGTGATAATCTGTGCATTGTCTGTGAAACTGATTGGTCCACACCAGAGACGGCTTTCTTTCGAGCCTAGTATCAAACGGTGTTAGACCAGAGGACAGCGCCAAAAGGCGTACACAGCACAAAGACAACGCCACCATCAGAACAATGACGGCTCAGGGTGAGCAGCTACATCATGGGACCTCCTTTCCCAGTAGCAAAATATAAGAAGAGGTTTTACACCTTTTATTATTTACAGATTTGTACTATTTTTTGTCTTGGGATATTTTTTGTATACGGTTTCTCCGTGTTTATTTCAATTGGTTGGACCATCTCTAGCTCTACCCACCTACCTTGATGCACCCATCTCAGGCCTATATAAGACCTTGTCTCAGCAGATTTCTCTCTCACCTGAAGACGATTCCTTGTGTTGCGATCGAAACGTCGTGATCTATTATTTTCTATGTACGCGACTTGATCGAAGGACCCAAAGAGTATAATTCCTGCAGTCACGAAAGCTTTAAATTAATAAATAACTACGTAGTTTGAGAAGCTCCCAATGCACCATCGGAATCTTCTTTGCCAGTAGCTAAATATGATAATTGTTTTTTTACCCTTTTATCTGGCAACAAAACTGACACCATATTAACTGCCCTGCAGGTATGCTGCAGGGCAGTTAATAGATATTTTATCTGCAACAACGATGAGGTCGGAAGAGCGACGCCCACATGAATAGTTGTAACTCTGGGTTCCTAAAACCCAGCAAGACAGTGGGGAGCACAGCTGGTTCATCTGTCAGTCATCTCTTGACAACTGGATCATTCCCATGACCTGATGACAAGGAATCCACACTTACATGGCCTTAAATTGCACCTATCATGGCATTAGCACTGGGATAAGGTTACTTGCAATTCGTCATGAATGGTGGATTTTAGTTTATATATGTTAATGATGCATGTGAAATGTATGTGTATTTAGGAGTTTATCTTTGTGAGGAGCTGTGGTGCAGTTATTTCACTGCATTATGAACTCAATAATTAGTTTGATTATCACCGACAGCAAACATGATTGATAAGTGAATGCTGAACTGCTTGTGGGCCTCTGCTGTGGTGATTGATCTTGAATTAATTACATGGTGAAGTGAGGAAGCGTCAATACTGAGCAGATGAAGGCGGCCAGGCATGGTTCTGGACACACCACCACTTTTTACCATGCCAGTGTGTGACAGTGTCAAGTTTGTATTTGCAGTAAATTATATTAACTATTGAACATGGAGGTCAAATCAAAACAATCGTTTATTTTAGTTTCCCTCTGGAATTTTTTGGAAAAATGGAAACAGGAAATTAACAGCACATATGCTGCTGAAGTTAGATCTGTTCATCCAAGCAAATCTGAGCCTGGCTTCACACCTCTAAAGTTTCGATTGAAAATGTATGTATGCATTTATGCATAATACAAATAGTAGTATTCCCAACAGCCTTTGCTATGTTAGCTGAAATTTGCTTTTAAAATACTACTTTTTCAGCCAGGCAGCCGAAATTGTGTTCTTGGTGTTTTGGGTTAACATTTATTTTGAAGATACTAGGGCTTCCAGGCATATTTATAACCATTTGCCCTCTCATTGTTTGCCTTAACAGCCCATGTGATGAATTGGGGATAATCTTGAATATATGAATAAAGATAGACGTGTAAGTCATGTGTGACTGTGTATATATTCATTCCTCTGTGCCTCGATTTTGATTAAGATGGTGTGGACATTTTTTTTCTGTCTGCAGCTAATGCTTCTTCTGATGCTTCCTCTGCAGAATTGGTCTGATGGAGCAAAGGCACTCAGCGCGGCTCGGTAGACAAAGACAACAATGGGACCAGTATGCAAACAGCATGGATTCTACTGGAAATTTTACACAGGACCAGAAATCTCCAACGGGAGAGAAACCCTTCAAGTGCACTGTGTGTGGGAAGGCATTTTCAAGTTCATTTTATCTTAAAATACACCAGAGAACACACACAGGAGAGAAACCCTTCAAGTGCACTGTGTGTGAGAAGCCATTTTCAAGTTCATTTTATCTTAAAATACACCAGAGAACACACACAGGAGAGAAACCCTTCAAGTGCACTCTGTGCGAGATGGCATTTTCACAGTCATCTAATCTTACAATCCATCAGAGAACGCACCAAGGCGAGAACCCCTTCAAGTGCAGTGTGTGTGTGAAGGCATTTTCAAGTTCATATTATCTTAAAATACACCTGAGAACACACACAGGAGAGAAACCCTTCAAGTGCAGTGTGTGTGGGAAGGCATTTTCAAGTTCATTTTATCTTAAAAAACACCAGAGAACACACACAGGAGAGAAACCCTTCAAGTGCAGTGTGTGTGAGATGGGATTTTCACAGTCATCTAATCTTACAATCCACCAGAGAATGCACAAAGGAGAGAACCCCTTCAAGTGCAATGTGTGTGAGATGGCATTTTCACATTCATCAAATCTTAAAATGCACCAGAGAACGCACACAGGAGAGAAACCCTTTACGTGCAGTGTGTGTGGGAAGGCATTTTCAAGTTTGTCTTATCTTAAAATACACCATAGAATACACACAGGAGAGAAACCCTGCAAGTGCAGTGTGTGTGAGAAGGCATTTTCAAGTCCATCTAATCTTCAAATGCACATGAGAAAGCACAAAGGAGAGAACCCCTTCAAGTGCAGTGTGTGTGAGATGACATTTTCATATTCATCAAATCTTAAAATGCACCAGAGAACGCACACAGGAGAGAAACCCTTTAAGTGCAGTGTGTGTGGGAAGGCATTTTCAACTTCGTCTTATCTTAAAATCCACCAGAGAATACACACAGGAGAGAAACCCTTCAAGTGCACTCTGTGCGGGAAGGCGTTTGCACAGTCAACACAGCTTAATACACACCAGAGAACACACAGGCATCAGAAGATCCCCAAGGAGTGTAGTCTGAAATCGACTTGTGAAAGTCAAAGTGCTGCAATGAGCCCATCCCTCCTGAAAAAAGAACCAGAAGTAAATTCCAGCTTGGACACTATGAAATGTATCAAGGTGAAATTTGAAGAGGCGACAGTGACCAGCGAAGAAGTGACAGTGAAGAGCGAAGAAGTGAAGGTAAAATGTGAAGATGAACATTCAACTCCAAAATCGGACCTTCACGTCAATGGAGGCAACGTGAAACAGGAGGAGAATTCTGACTGTGAGGCAGAGCAAGGCAACTCCAAGCAGTTTGTGGAAGTGGAGGTGTGGGTGGACTTCTTAGACAATACAAATTCAAATGGAGAACCTGTAGATGTGTAAGCTTGAGACAATGAAGCTCCAATAGATTCACATTTGTCACAGGCCTTTAATGAAAAGAACGTGAAGTTGAACACTCCATTCCTAGGTTCAACCTGCAGCGGTCAGTATTTGCGGACCTGTGGGTTGGGTAGATCTCTAACTAGGAGCGAGAGCCAATAAGCTCCCAAGCATTCACTATGTTATAATAATAGCATTTATATGGTGCTTGCTTAATCGCCTCAGCAACTCGGAGTTTTGTATCATCTCATCACAAATACTCGAAGAGCACGCCTTTTGGCGTCCTCTGGATTAACACCGTTTGATACTAGGCTCTAAAGAAAGCTATCTCTGGTGTGGACCAATCAGTTTCAAAGACAATGCATATGTTGTGTCCTATGACTAACCACACGGTGATCCGAGGGGAGAGAAATTCACGTAAAGACAGAGACACGACCCATACATCGAGACTACTGCGAGTTACAGAAGACTACAAGTGACAAAGAGTACTGCGACGGGCAGACTCCGGGGCATGGCCTCGAGATCAACAATGGGTGTTGTATCTCGCAGAGAAGAGGGGCGAGGTGATGCTCGGTGCTGAGTTCGGCATGGACCGACAGAGTATCGCTGAGAGTTTTATTCTACATTCATCCTGATGTTTTCAGTTGCTTTCAAAGTCAAGGATTGCGATAAGTTGTATTGTACTAAGCTTTCACAGTTGTTCAAGAGGTGTGTGAATACAATTTACAAGTTTTGAGAGTGAGTTCCAGCTCCCATGAGCAGCTGCGATCGGCAGGCTCCGGGGAACCTGCCCCCGTGACTGGCACATCGTCAACGAGCTGCACCAGCAGAAGCCACGAGTCTACGAAATCAACGCAAAGAGTTGACTTACTGCAAGCGGCAAGCTCTGGGGTGGGACTCTGCAATCAACCAAGGATGAAGAGGCTTGCCGAGTAGCAATTGGTCACCGAATACGAGCTCGGCGCTGACGGAAGAAGTATCGCTCAAAGTTATTCTACATTGAGTGCCAGCTCCCACGAGCAGCTGCAGACCGAGAGATAGAGTGACGAGCAACGACGAGCAATCACCCGGGAGAAAGGGTGGAAGCCCAATCATCGACCAAGCCAGCATCGCAGAGAACCAGCTGCACGCGCAACCAGGCATCGCCAGAGAGCACGGAGCCGGAGAGAGAGCGCAGCAGCGCCACCGAGCACTGGTGTCAGCTGCCAGCGGACGAGCGGCGAGGGCTGTCAAGCACCTTCAAAGACAAGCATCGTGTCGACTCAGCTCATCCAGCAGGGGAAAAATCCTGACGAGCCGCCCGTGAGGAAGAGGAGAGCGCCGTGGGTTCGACCCACACGCACCGACCAGCACCAGCTGTGAACCAAGACAAGAGTGAGGAACGGCAACCAGCAGACGAGCTGCGGGCGCTATCTGACGACGGAATTATCGCGCACCGCCGACGGCGAGCATCGTGCCGACTCTTCATCCAGCAGTGGGTAGCAGCTCCAGCTGCCGCCGAGCGAGAGAGAGCGAGGAAGCTGTGTGTATGACCCTCCCCCACACTCACATACTCACCATGTATCACCCAGCGTCTGCTTGACGCGAAGAATTGATCAAGGAGACAAAACCACCAAACACACACCGCACATACCGGGACTAATAATAAGAAGAAGAATGATAAGAGTGCGTCAACTATTAGCTGATAATGAAGAACATTGCTGCCCATTGAGTCACATGGATACGGTCGTTGAGAAGTATTAGTCGTTCTTTTTATTAATTTTAACTGTACCGATTAATTCATTGACGAAACTAAACGTTTAGAAACCTACGTTACGAATCCACACACTCACAGGGAGACTTGTGTGTAAATCTTTCTTTTGATCACAGAATCTTGCCCGCGAATTTATTGAAGCCTTAGCCAATTGATAAGCATTTTCTGAAGCAGACACACTGCCGCACACCATTTTTCAAAGACGTTTAGTTAATTACATAATCTACCAATGAATTCATTGAGGTCTACTTTTGCATTCGGGACATGTTTCTTTATTGCCGTTCGTATGAATATTGTCACATTATTTTTAAGGACTTTTTCCTATGCTCGCGTTACTCTGAGGAATTAACCGATTGCTCTGTTACCCAGTTTAACAACGTAATCATTGAGGGTTAAATGTACGGATCAATGAGGAGCACATCTCCAGGAGTACTGTGTTGACAATTCCAAGCATAATAGTTCGCATATTAGAGTGTTATGTTTTTGTTTAGAATTTAAAGTTGCTTAACACAGAAGTGTCTGAGTCGTTCCTTCTTAAGTTCATGCATAATGACCTTAATTATAAGAACTGTATCCTTTGGCGAGATCTGGATTCTGAGACCTGGTAGAATTACACTAAAATATAATCAGTAAAAGTTACAGCGAGAATCTTTGTATTATCACAATTATTAAGAAGGGGGGGGGGGGGGGGATGGTTTCATGATGATTCAAGCGCATTCTATTTATTGTGCACTTTATTTATATTATTATTACATTGTAATATATACAATGTAATAATACAATTGCTCTACCCTACCTTTTACCCTTTAGCAGGTAAGGTAAAAGGTAAAAAGAAACGAGCCTACCTTTACCCTACCTTTTACCCTTATCCCATACAAATTACCCGATTACAGGGAAGTTACTGGGGTACAACACATGAAAAAGGTTAATAACGATAAATGCTAGGTAGAGCGCTTTATTTATATAGAATACTCTCGAATCGGGCGTTGAGGCTGTCGACGACACCGTCCTCCATAACCTCCTTGTCCCAGTCGTCTTGTTCGATGGCGATCTCATCAACAACCTGATCAAGTTCGTCATTGCCATGGTCCTCGGACGAACGACAGGCAATAAGATCCTGCGCCGATCCGGCCCAGTTAGACGGAATCTTCAGGCAGCCGACGCCTACGTCCCGACCTCGCTGCCTGGGGCGAGCATGTTGTGCTTTTTGAGGTGGACTTTCCACCCCGACGCGTTCGTGTGGGTGGAAAACCACTTGCGTGTGCTCCCACGGGAGCGCATGCCGCTGCCTTTTTCGATTGCTGTTCGCAGCAATCCCAAAAATGTCGTTGCTGGCATCCTCGACCTCGTCCTCTAGTACCTCTACCTCAAGGACGTGGACCGTCTCCATCTGGTCCGACATCAATTATCGCGAATAAAAATAGAGGCCACAGACTGCGCCACGGAACTTTTAGCGGTAAACAAGGTACAGTAGTTGCCGGGTAATTATTCACGCTACCTTTACCCTACCGGGTAATTTCTTTTGAGCTACCTTTAACCTTGGCATGTCGAAACCTTTACCCTTTTACCCGGTAAAAAAGGTAATTTACCTTACCTTGCCGAGGCCTAGTGGGAGCCCTGAGCTTGTTTTCCTGTAACGAGATGGTCCCATCTGGGGGTGATAGGAGACTGTGACACCCGAAGTGTGTTGCCTATGTCCAGTCTACTCCATAATCTCGTTTTTGTTGCTGTCACTGCAGAAAACCCTGCTTCACAAAGATAGGACGTTGGAATGGAATCAGACTTTTCAGTGCTTTTGTGGCAATCTCAGGATATTCCGCCTTGACTTTAATCCAGAACATATCGAGATTTGAAGTTGTCTCAAACATACTTTTAAGGCCACCTTCATTTGCGATCTCAAGCAGTTGATCCTCTTCTAGCACAGACAAAGTCGATTCACCTGGCTTATTCACAAATGGGTCGCGGGTCCATTCCTTCCCAGTTCGGGGGTCTTTTGTGGTTGGAAAGTAATGCTCAAATTCTTTTAAAGGCTGAGATAGGTTTTAATGCACCAGCTGGGAGAAATGCCCTGGCTCAGTCTCTTTCAAAATCTCTGCTAGTGTTTGAAACATGTCAAAAGTTCCAATGTTCACTCGTCGCCCCCATAATTCGAGTTTGGCTTTGAATGCAGTCACTTTATCTGCCGAATTGAACAGAGTTGTCGATCTCCCCTGAAATGACAGATTGAGTACGTTGAGCAGGCTGAATATGTCACACAAGTGAGCAAGTTTCGCGACCCATTCTGTGTCACTGAAATGTGCTGCCAGTGGTGACTGTTTTTCTTAAAGATATCTCTGGAGTGGCTCTCACAACTCAAAAACTCTGGCCAGTGATCTACCTTTAGAAAGCCATCTCAATTCTGTGTTTTAGAGATGATGTGTGGTGAGCGCGCTGCGCTACGAACCCGGTGACCCGAGTTCGATTCCCGCTCATGGCCACCACGATTATTTTTACCTGTTCTGGGATTCCCCTAGGTCGACTCAGCCTCAAACGAGTAACTGATGTGGTGTGTGAACATCACCACTGGGGAGACAAAGGCGGCCGGGCGTGGTGAATCCAAGTCCCGGGCGAAGCCGGGTAGTCAAGCTAGTCTTCTATATATAAAAGGAAAATTTGTGAATGTGTTGTATGTTAAACATGTTTAGCGTACTTCCCGACATGCAACAAACTTGAAATTTGCCATGTGGGTACTTTGCAAAATGTACTGTGATGCCGCCGCCACGAAGCTGCTCAGCGGGTGCCCCATCTACGACCTCGCCACCACCAAGCGACGGAGCCAGCCCCGCTTCCCCCTCACCTCACCTCACATAAACACACCCGCACGCATTCCCCCCCCCCCCATAGAGCTCCGAGGGAAGGTCACCTGGCTGACCGGTTTTAATCCGAGAAGCCCTTATCGGGATTAACTTCACCGTTTCCGGCGACCAGGGAATTGGACGACCTCCCCCGACGCTATTTCGCACCGCGGCGCTGCGACCGGCATTAAGATTGTATGGTCGCGGCGAGGGGCATTCGTCCACCGCGGTTGAAACGCATCCCCCACACACACCCCCACGTATCGACGAGGCAAGCAGGGGAGGGACGGGACAGCATGATTAGCATGACCGCAGGGACTCTTGCGCGTAGTCGCTGATGGTTAGGATAATTACGCTTGAGCGCGCAGGCACCATTGTCAGGGAAGTTAAAGGATAAAGCTGGAATTATGAATAATCAGAAGGGCGGAGGCACGCGGGGAGCCCGTGCACAAATTCCCACGGCGAGCCTTTGTGATGGACGCCACCGCATAATTTGCATAACCAAGGCACCATTCATGAGAAAGGGATTGATTAGCATATGCGCCGCGCATGAACGGGGGAGGGAGCGAAGAGTACGCGGGGAGGCGGGGGCCTGAGTCCGGAAGATAGGATAAAAGCGATCGTAGCAAGGTAGAGGGATCTCACTTCAAGAGGCCCGCGTTCAAGACGGCTCCCAGCTCTGCCCTCCGGACGTCCACGCGACGTGTCCAGACGAGCATCGAGGAAAAGCCAAAGGATGCCGAATACTTCGAACCATGAGTAGCAAGGTGAAAGGGTATTGTAAGCAGGTAAATCGGGAATAGGTCCAGGGGTAGCAGAATAGGCCAGCCTCGTCGATTCATACTGACTTAACAACAAGTCCCAGGTAGCAGACAATAAATCATTAATAGCTGATCGTGGTCTCGTGTGATCTCGCAAGAGAGGGTGTCGCGTGTGGAGCTGCGTGTGTGCGCGTGTGTTCGCTACGTGTATGATGCAGGTACGCGATCATAACGTGAGTAGTCAGTGTTGAGTGAGAGCGCGCGGAGCTGGGTGTGGGCGTACGTTCGCTACGTGTCGGATACAGGTGCGCGATTAGGAAAGGGAGGTATCGTGGTAGTGTGAAGTGGACGTAATACTACTCGGTAGCTAGCCATGCCTACTACGCGGACCCGAGGTGGATGGGAATCATCGAGCGACGGCTCCCACCCCATGGGTGAGGAACCCAGCAGCGGTTCGCCTAGCAGCGGGGGGGCGAGTAATGATGTTAGTCCGGCCGTTAGCATTATCGAGGGAGGGATCTCGGGGGCCAGCGACCCTCACAGTACACCATGAAAAAATTATAAAAATACACTTTTGTATTTTTGGGGGGGGGAATGACCATGAAGTGTGGCGAGAATCGATATCTGCTGAGCGTTTGTGGTATCGATTAAACGGAAATAGGCCGATTCTAAATAAATCTACAACATTTGATTCCATTGCGCGATCTAAATAATTGAATCTTTACGCGCGAGCGTTAGTTTATTTTCCACCGCGCGTTGGAATTTATTTAAATGTATTTAAAATGTATTTACATTTTAATTAAAGAGATAAAATAAAAATCCATTTGTATATGTTATGTTTTGAAGTTTTTTGAGAAGTTTTTCAAGAAATGTTTTTCCCCCGGGCAACGCCGGGTGCTTCCCGCGAGTACCGATTAAATGAAACTGAAACTTTCAACTGGCGTTTAATTAACATAATTTATTCATAAATACAGTCGCTCGTTCATTGCGACGGCTTGAGCATCCACGCCTCATCACTGCACATGAGCCCGTCTCATTAACATAAGTTATTCAATTACGCCGCCGCTCGTTGGGGGAGGGGATTGTGTGTTGAACCCCGCAAGTGACGTCATGTCACCTGCTTTCTCGTGACGTCACGATATATCCGGAAGTTGCCACAGCACTCGCTCTCACAGATCCGAGGTGAGAAGTTAACATCGTGGTTGTTGTTGTCGTGGTGGTTGTTGTTGTTTACCCAGGTAGAGCCTCTCTCCGTCTCTCGTAGGGATATCAATTGAGTAGCAGCGAGTATGGAATCGATGTCCAGGTTGGAACATTACAACGCGGGGCCTAGCCACGCGGGGCCTTGCCTCCTGCCCTCGCCTGATTGCATTTGCTTTAATCCTCTGCTTAAGTTTAATTCGTCTTCATCTGGCTCACTACTTCATGGGACCTCCTTTGCCAGTAGCAACATATAAGAAGAGGTTTTTTCCCCTTTTTCTGGCAACAAAACAGGTGTTAAGATATTCTTGGTTCTTTCGGTAAAGTCACGCAGAAGGGAAATAATAAAGTAATACAATTTCTTGCTGTGGATTTCACAGCTGACGATGATTGCTCGAGTTGCAGTCGAAACGTGAGAATTGTTTTATTTTATTATTTTTCTTCTACGTGACTTTAGGTGTGAAAAACAGCAAGAAAATTTTTCAAAATTTTGGAAAATTGTCTTGCTGTGTTTTTCACAGCTGACGATGATTGCTCGTGTTGCAGTCGAAACGTCGTGAGAATTTAAATTTTTTTTATTTTAGTCTTTTTCTTCTACGTGACTAGGTGTGAAAAACAGCAAGAAATTTTTTACAAATTTAGGAAAATTTGCTTGTTGTTTTTTTCACACCTGATTACTCGTGTTGCAGTCAAAACGTCGTGAGATTTTTTTTCTACGTGACTTTAGGTGTGAAAAACAGCACCTGACGATGATTGCTCGTGTTGCAATCGAAACGTCGTGAGAAATTTGTATTGTTTTATATGTTTATTATTTTATTATTTCCCTTATACTTGATGACTTTACCGAAAGAACCAAGAATATGAATCCCTGCAGTCAGGAAAGCTTCAAATCAAAATTTGGGTGTTAAGATGTTTAAACGCCGAACTGAAACCTCTTGCAAGGAATCGTGTCTGCATTAACCACAATATACTCGCGATCAATATGCAAACAAAACAAATGCTGTGATAATCTATGCATTGTCTGTGAAACTGATTGGTCCACACCAGAGACGGCTTTCTTTCGAGCCTAGTCTCAAACGGTGTTAGTCCAGAGGACAGCGCCAAAAGGCGTACACAGCACAAAGACAACGCCACGATCAGAACAATGACAGCTCGGGGTGAGCATCTACATCATGGGACCTCCTTTGCCAGTAGCAAAATATAAGAAGAGGCTTTTCCCCTTTTATCATTTACAGATTTGTACTATTTTTTGTCTTGGGATATTTTTTGTATACGGTTTCTCCGTGTTTATTTCAATTGGTTGGACCATCTCTAGCTCCACCCACCTACCTTGATGCACCCATCTCAGGTTTATATAAGACCTTGTCTCAGCAGCTTTCTCTCACCTGAAGACGATTGCTTGTGTTGCGATCGAAACGTCGTGATCTATTATTTTCTATGTACGCGACTTGACCGAAAGACCCAAAGAGTATTAATTCCTGCAGTCACGAAAGCTTTAAATCAATAAATAACTACGTAGTTTGAGAAGCTCCCAATGCACAATTGGAACCTCCTTTGCCAGTAGCAAAATATAATAATTGTTTTTTTACCCTTTTATCTGACAACAAAACTGACACCTTTTTGAGTTATACGCCTTTTGGCGTCATCTGGTCCAACACCATATTAAATGTCCAGGAGGTATGCTGCAGGGCAGTTAATAGATATTTTCTCTGCAACAACGATGAGGTCGGAAGAGCGATGCCCACACGAATAGGTGGAACGCTGGGTTCCTAAAACCCAGCAAGACAGTGGGGAGCACATCTGGTTCATCTGTCAGTCATCCCTTGACACCTGCATCATTCCCATTAGCTGCTGACAAGGAATCCACACTTACATGGCCTTAAATTGCACCTATCATGGCATTAGCACTGGGATAAGGTTACTTGCAATTCGTCATGAATGGTGGATTTTTGTTTATATATGTTAATGATGCATGTGAAATGTATGTGTATTTAAGAGTTTATCTTTGTGGGGAGCTGTGGTGCAGTTATTTCACTGCATTATGAACTCAACAATTAGTTGGATTATCACCGACAGCAAACATGATTGATAAGTGAAAGCTAAACAGCTTGTGGGCCTCTGCTATATTGATTGATCTTAAATTAATTACATGGTGAAGTGAGGAAGCGTCAATACTGAGCAGATGAAGGCGGCTAGGCATGGTTCTGGACACAACCACTTTTTACCATGCCAGTGTGTGACACTGTCAAGTTTGTATTTGCAGTGAATAATATTAACTATTGAACATGGAGGTAAAATCAAAACAATCGTTTATTTTAGTTCCCCTCTGGAACTTTTTGGAAGAATGGAAACAGGAAATTAACAGCACATATGCTGCTGAAGTTACATCTGTTTATCCAAGCATTCAAGCAAATCTGAGCCTGGCTTCACACCTCTAAAGTTGAGATTGAACATTTATTGATGCATTTCTGCATAATACAAATAGTATTATTCCCAACAGCCTTTGCTATGTTAGCTGAAATTTGCTTTTATAAATACTGCTTTTGCAGCCAGGCAGCCGAAATTGTGTGCTTGGTGTTTTGGGTTAACATTTATTTAGAAGATACTAGGGCTTCCAAGCATATTTATAACCATTTGCCCTCTCATTGTGTGCTTTAACAGCCCGTGTGATGAATTGGGGATAATCTTGAATATATATAAATATAGACGTGTAAGTCATGTGTGACTGTGTATATATTCATTCCTCTGGGCCTCGATACTGATGAAGATGGTGTGGACATTTATTTTTTTCTGTCTGCAGCTGATGCTTCTTCTGATGCTTCCTCTGCAGAATTGGTTTGATGGAGCAAAGGGACTCAGCGCAGCTCGTTAGACAAAGACAACGATGGGACCAGTATGCAAACAGCATGGATTCTACTGGAAATTTTACACAGGACCAGAGATCTCCAACGGGAAAGAAAGCCTTCAAGTGCACTGTGTGTGGGAAGGCATTTTCAGATTCATCTGCTCTTAAAAAACACCAGAAAACACACACAGGAGAGAAACCCTTCAGGTGTAGTGTGTGTGGGAAGGCATTTTCAAGTTTATCTTATCTTAAAATACACCAGAGAACACACACAGGAGAGAAACCCTTCAAGTGTAGTGTGTGTGGGAAGGCATTTTCAAGTTCATCTTATCTTAAAAAACACCAGAGAACACACACAGGAGAGAAAGCCTTCAAGTGTACTGTGTGTGAGAAGGCATTTTCAAGTTCATTTTATTTTAAAATACACCAGAGAACACACACAGGAGAAAATGCCTCCAAGTGCACTGTGTGTGAGAAGGCATTTTCAAGTTCATTTTATCTTAAAATACACCAGAGAACACACACAGGAGAGAAACCCTTCAAGTGTAGTGTGTGTGGGAAGGCATTTTCAAGTTCATCTTATCTTAAAAAACACCAGAGAACACACACAGGAGAGAAAGCCTTCAAGTGTACTGTGTGTGAGAAGGCATTTTCAAGTTCATTTTATTTTAAAAT